AAAACCAACCGGAACCGGCCCCGAACCGCCCCGAACCGCCCCGAACCCGCCCCGAACCGCCCCGAACCCGCCCTGAACCGCCCCAAACCCGCCCCAAACCCGCCCCGAACCCGCACTAAACCCGCCCCAAACCCGCCCCAAACCGCCCCGAACCGCCCCGAACCGCCCCAAACCCGCCCCAAACCCGCCCCGAACCCGCACTAAACCCGCCCCAAACCCGCCCCAAACCGCCCCGAACCGCCCCGAACCCGCCCCGAACCGCCCCAAACCCGCCCCAAACCGCCCCGAACCGCCCCGAACCCGCCCCGAACCGCCCCGAACCGCCCCGAACCCGCCCCGAACCGCCCCGAACCGCCCCGAACCCGCCCCGAACCCGCCCCGAACCCGCCCCGAACCTCCCCCGAGTGCCGGGGGACTCTGGGGGTGCCCTGGGAAGGGTCTGGGGGTGCCCGGGGGGTGCCCGGGGGGCTCTGGGGGTGCCCGGGGAAGGGTCTGGGGGTGCCCTGGGGGCTCTGGTGGTGCCCAGGGGTTCTGTGGGTACCCGGGGAAGGGTCTGGGGGTACCCGGGGGGTGCCCGGGGGGCTCTGGGGGTGCCCGGGGGGCTCTGGGAGACCCCTGGGCAGGGTCCGGGGGTACCCGGGGGGCTCTGGGGGTGCCCTGGGGTGAGCCGGGCTGGGTTGGGTTGTGCCAGCTGGGGCACAGCCCCCGGGGGGGTTCGGCACAGAGCCCCCAAATCCTCCGGTGTGCCCCAAAACGGAGCGCGGGCAGCAGCGCGGGAGGGGACACTGTCCCCAGGGTGTGGGGCAGAGGGACACTGTCCCCACGGTGTCCCCATGGTGTCCCCTGGGATCGTGGGTGACACTGAGGGGATGTGGGGCGGAGGGACACTGTCCCCAGGGTGTGGGGCAGAAGGACACTGTCCCCACGGTGTCCCCACGGTGTCCCCACGGTGTCCCCTGGGATCGTGGGTGACACTGAGGGGATGTGGGGCAGAGGGACACTGTCCCCAGGGTGTGGGGCACAGGGACACTGTCCCCCACGGTGTCCCCACGGTGTCCCCACGGTGTCCCCACGGTGTCCCCACGGTGTCCCCTGCGGTCATAGGGGGGATGCTGAGGGGATGTGGGGCAGAGGGACACTGTCCCCACAGTGTCCCCACAGTGTCCCCTGGGATCCTGGGGGGACGGTGTCCCCACGGTGTCCCCACGGTGTCCCCACGGTGTCCCCTGGGATCCTGGGGGGACGGTGTCCCCACGGTGTCCCCAGATGTCCCCTGGGGGATCCCAGTGCAGCCCAGGGATCCCCAGCCCGATCCCCGCTTTTGGGGGGGATGTTCTGGGGGTCCCTCCCTGCTGCTGCCCCCTCCCCATCCCGGTGCCCAGGGCGCCCCCAGCCCCACAAACCGCGTCCGCACGGGGAAAGAACCCCAAAATCCTGGTTTTTATCATGCAAAATGGATCCGGAGTGCACGCACAGAACCCCAGCCCGCCCTTCCTCCTCCTCCTCCTCCTCCTCCTCCTCCTCCTCCAGCCCCGGCGCGCACCCACCTGCCCGCAGGTGAGGAAGATGAGGGTGGAGGAAGCAGCAGCAGCCCCGATCGAGCTTTTGTTAATCTGCAGCCGGCGCTTCAATTAAAAAAGAAAAAAAATTAAAAAAAAAAAGAAGAAAAAAACGAGAAAAAATGAGGAAAAAAAAATAAATTAAAAAACCCACGTCAAAGCTTCAGGAGCGCGGAGGCTGCGGCGGAGCGGAGGGCACGGGAGGACGCTCAGCCCACACCAGAGCGGCTTTCTGGGAATTTGGGAATTGGGGCCGCTGCCCTCCAGCCCTGCCCGCCGCTCCCCGGGGCCGGGGCCGGTTCGGTGCCGGTTCCGGTGCCGGTTCCGAACTGCCTCCGCAGGTTCGGACGCTTCTCCCGAGCCGCATCTCCCGTTTTTCCCCGGGGAAAGGTGAGTGAGCATCGCTAAACCGCGCTGGCTTCGCTGCCGGGGGCGGGCGAGCCGCTGATCCCGGGCGGGGGTCGCGTTACCGAGCCCCCAACACCCCCTGCCCGGCCCGGGGTGCCCCTTCCCCAGTGCTGTGAGACCCCAAGGAGAGGCTTGGGATGGATGGAGCGAGGAGAGGGAGAAGGAGAAGGAGGAGAGAGGAGAAGGAGAAGGAGAGAGGATAAGAAAAAGGGAGAAGGAGAAGGAGAAGGAGAAGGAGAAGGGAGGAGAAAGAGAGAGGAGAAGAAAAAGGGAGAAGGAGAAGGAGGAGTGAGGAGAAGGAGAAGAAGGGAGAAGAAAAAGGGACAAGGAGAAGAGAAGGAGAAGGGAGAAGGAGGAGAAGGAGGAAGAGAAAGGAGAAGAAAAAGGGAAAAGGATAAGGAGGAGTGAGGAGAAGGAGAAGGAGCGAGGAGAAGGGAGAAAAAAAGGGAGAAGGAGAGAGGAGAAGGAGTGAGGAGAAGGAGTGAGGAGAAGGAGAAGAAAAAGGGAGAAGGAGAAGGAGAAGGAGAAGGAGAAGAGAAGAGAAGAGAAGAGAAGAGAAGAGAAGAGAAGAGAAGAGAAGAGAAGAGAAGAGAAGAGAAGAGAAGAGAAGAGAAGAGAAGAGAAGAGAAGAGAAGAGAAGAGAAGAGAAGAGAAGAGAAGAGAAGAGAAGGAGAAGGAGAAGGAGAAGGAGAAGGAGAAGGAGAAGGAGAAGGAGAAGGAGTGAGGAGAAGGAGCGGCCGCTCCGCGTCCCAGGGCACGGCGGGATGTCGCAGCCAGCCCACCTCTGCCGGTGTCCCCGATGTCGCCGTGGCAGCCCCGCAGTGCCGGGGGGGACCCGGCGGTGCCCGATGCTGCCGGGCGCTGCCGGCCCCGCATCGCTCCGTTCCTTCCGAGGAGAACGAGCCGCCCCGGCGGGCCCCGGTGCGGGGGCACGGTGCCCGTCCTGTGCCACCCCCTGCCCCCCTCCGCGTGCCCGGGACTCCCGGTTACCGGCTTCAAATACCTTGATGGCATTAAAAGCTCACCCCGGGGCCGAGGGCTTAGGACGGCAGCCAGGGACACGGCGGCCCGATGCCACCTGAAAGTGCCAACCTGGAAAAACCCACCGGCAAAACCCACCCGGTAAAACCCACCCACAAAACCCACCTGGCAGTGCCCACCTGGCAGTGCCCACCTGGCAAAACCCACCCGGCAAAACCCACCTGGCAGTGCCCACCTGGCAGTGCCCACCTGGCAAAACCCACCTGGTAAAACCCACCTGGCAAAGCCCACCTGGCAGTGCCCACCTGGCAAAACCCACCCGGCAAAACCCACCTGGCAGTGCCCACCTGGCAAAACCCACCTGGTAAAACCCACCCGCAAAATCCACCTGGTAAAACCCACCTGGCAGTGCCCACCTGGCAAAGCCCACCGGCAAAACCCACCTGGCAAAACTCACCTGGCAGTGCCCACCTGGGAAAACCCACCCGGCAAAACCCACCTGGCAGTGCCCACCTGGCAAAATCCACCTGGTAAAACCCACCTGGCAGTGCCCACCTGGCAAAACCCACCTGGCAAAACCCACCCGGCAAAACCCACCTGGCAAAACCCACCTGGTAAAACCCACCTGGCAAAACCCACCCGGCAAAACCCACCTGGGGGTCCCCCCATTCCTGGCCTGCCCGGCGTTTTGGAGTGGGACAGGGGGGTCCAGGGGGATCCCCCCACTCCCAACATCCAAACCCTGCCCGGGATTTTGGGGGGATCCCCCCACTCACAGCACCCAAACCCTGTCCGGGATTTTGGGGGGATCCCCCCACTCACAACACCCAAACCCTGCCCGGGATTTTGGGGGGATCCCCCCACTCACAGCACCCAAACCCTGCCCGGGATTTTGGGGGGATCCCCCCACTCACAGCACCCAAACCCTGCCCGGGATTTTGGGGACGGGCTGTGCCACCCCGCCCGGCCCCTCCTCGTCCCAAACGCGGGGTGGGCACACGGATCTGCCAAAATTGGGCACCAAAACTCCTCCTTCCTTCCTTCCTCCCCCCTCCCACCGAGCGCTGCTGGCGTGCCTCAGTTTCCCCACGCTGACCCCGCACCCCCTTTTTGGGGCCGCCACGCGTGTTAACCCAGCGGGGAGCACCCCGGGGTGCAAGAACCCCCCGAGTTTGCCCCTCCGCAGCTCTCCCCGGGCCGTATCCTCGGAGGAACCGCGGTGCCTAAGCGGCTTTGGGGGGATTAGAGGCACCCCCGGGCCCGCGGTGCCCACCCGGCCTCCCCCCGCTGCTGCGGTAATTAATTAATTTGTCCCGGGCTAATCCCGCTCCTGCCACCTCATCTGCCCCGCACGGCCCGGCCCGGCCCGGCCCGGTGCCCCGGGGGAGAGGGCAGCGATGGTGGCACCGGGGGGATGGCTGCAGAGTCACCCCGTGTCACCCCGTGTCACCCACCCACCGTGTCACCCACCCACCGTGTCACCCACCCACCGTGTAACCCACGCCCCGTGTCACCCACCCCCCGTGTCACCCTGGTGTCACCCACCCACCGTGTCACCCACACCCCGTGTCACCCACCCACCGTGTCACCCACCCCCCGTGTCACCCCGGTGTCACCCACCCACCGTGTAACCCACACCCCGTGTCACCCACCCCCCGTGTCACCCACTCCCCGTGTCACCCACCCCCCGTGCCACCCCCCGGGAAGGAGTTGGGGACTTTTGGGAATTTCAGGAATTTGGGGGATTTGGGGAATGCCACCCGCGGGTCCGGGGGACAGGAAGGGGCTGTAAAAGTGACCGTGAGGAGCAAAGGGGGGGAAAACCCCCCAAAAAAAATCATTTCCAGCGAGAAAATGGGGTCAGGGAGATTCCTGGAGGAGTTGGGGGATGTTATCCGGGATTTTGGGATCTGAAATTTGGGGGGGAACCACTGGGAGATTCCTGGAGGAGTCTGGGGATGTTATCCGGGATTTTGGAATCTGAAATTTCAAGGAAAGCCCCTGGGAAATGCCTGGAGGAGTTGGGGGATGTTATCCGGGATTTTGGAATCTGAAATTTCAGGGAAAGCCCCTGGAAAATGCCTGGAGGAGACTGGGGTTTTTATTCGGAATTTTGAAATCTGAAATATGGGGGAAAGGCCCTGGGAAATGCCTGGAGGAGTCTTGGATGGATCCCTGAGGGTACCAAAGGAAAATATCTCAGGAAACTTTCCTGGAGCTGTTGGGGGATTTTATCCGGGATTTTGGAACCTCAAATTTCAGGGAAAACCCCTGGGAAATGCCTGGAGGGAGTCTTGGATGGATCCCTTACTCCAAAGGAAAATAAAAATCTCAGGAAGATTCCCTGGAGGAGTCTGGGGATGTTATCCGGGATTCTGGAACCTCAAATTTCAGGGAAAACCCCTGGGAAATGCCTGGAGGAGTCTGGGGTTTTTATTCGGAATTTTGAAATCTGAAATATGGGGGAAAGGCCCTGGGAAATGCCTGGAGGGAGTCTTGGATGGATCCATTCTTCCAAAGGAAAATAAAAATCTCAGGAAGATTCCCTGGAGGAGTCTGGGGATGTTATCCGGGATTTTGGAGTCTGAAATTTCAGGGAAAGTCCTTGGGAAATGCCTGGAGGAGTCTTGGATGGATCCCTGAGGGTACCAAAGGAAAATAAAAATCTCAGGAAACTTTCCTGGAGGTGTTGGGGGATTTTATCCGGGATTTTGGAACCTCAAATGTCAGGAAAAACCCCTGGGAGATTCCTGGAGGATTCCTGAGGGTGCAGCTTCCTCCAAAAGAAAAAATCTCAGGAAATTTTTCTGGAGGAGTCTGGGGATGCTATTCAAGATTTTGGAATCTGAAATTTCAGGGAAAGCCCCTGGGAAATGCCTGGAGGAGTCTGGGGTTTTTATTCGGAATTTTGAAATCTGAAATATGGGGGAAAGGCCCTGGGAAATGCCTGGAGGAGTCTGGGGATGTTATTCGGGATTTTGAAATCTGAAATTTCAGGGAAAGCCCCTGGAAAATGCCTGGAGGGAGTCTTGGATGGATCCCTGAGGGTACCAAAGGAAAAAATCTCAGGAAACTTTCCTGGAGCTGTTGGGGGATTTTATCCGGGATTCTGGAATCTGAAATTTCAGGGAAAGCCCCTGGGAGATTCCTGGAGGATTCCTGAGGATGCAGCTTCCTCCAAAAGAAAAAATCTCAGGAAATTTTCCTGGAGGAGTCTGGGGATGTTATCCGGGATTCTGGAACCTCAAATTTCAGGGGAAAGCCCCTGGGAAATGCCTGGAGGAGTCTGGGGATGCTTTTCAAGATTTTGGAATCTGAAATTTCAGGGAAAGCCCCTGGGAAATCCCTGGAGGAGTCTCGGATGGATCCCTTCCTCCAAAGGAAAATAAAAATATCTCAGGAGGATTCCCTGGAGCTGTTGGGGGATTTTATCCGGGATTTTGGAATCTGAAATTTCAGGGAAAGTCCTGGGAAATGCCTGGAGGAGTCTGGGGTTTTTATTCGGAATTTTGAAATCTGAAATATGGGGAAAAGGCCCTGGGAAATCCCTGGAGGAGTCTTGGATGGATCCCTTCCTCCAAAGGAAAATAAAAATATCTCAGGAAGATTCCCTGGAGGAGCCCTGAGCTGTACCGGGATCCGGGACCATGGGTGCAAACCCCGGGAGAGGCCCTGGAGCTGTCCCAGATGGATTCCAGAGTTTCCTCCAGGAGAAAAAAATCCAACCGGGGACAACTCCCACTTCCCAAAGTTCCGGACAAAGTTTATTTTTCCAGGTACAACCCCTCCTTTTCGGAGAGGGGAACGTTAAAAGGCTCCCGGGGCACCGGGAATGTTGGAATGCCGTGGGGAAGGCACAGGAGGTGGGGGGAGCTGTAGTGTTCGTGGGGTGGGGTGGGGGAAAATGGGGGGTCAGACCCCACAGGAGAGGTGCCAGCACCCAGCTGGGGGGTCTGGGATGGGGGACATGAGCTGCTCCCCCCTCCTCGAGGGGCCACAGGGAAGGGATTTAGGGTGGGGGGATCCCCAGGGGTGCAGGAGGCACCCAGGGGTGCAGGAGCCACCTCAAAGAGCCACATCAGAGATGGAGGAGCCACCTCAGGGGTGCAGGAGCCACCTCGGGGGTGCAGGAGCCACCTCGGGGGTGCAGGAGCCACCCAGGGGTGCAGGAGCCACCTCAGGGGTGCAGGAGCCACCTCGGGGGTGCAGGAGCCACCCCGGGGGTGCAGGAGTCACCCAGGGGTGCAGGAGCCACCTCGGGGGTGCAGGAGCCACCTCGGGGGTTCAGGAACCACCTCAGGGGTGCAGGAACCACCTCGGGGGTGCAGGAGCCACATCAGAGATGGAGGAGCCACCTCAGGGGTGCAGGAGCCACCCCAGAGGTGCAGGAGTCACCCCAGAGGTGCAAGAGCCACCCAGGGGTGCAGGAGGCACATCAGAGATGGAGGAGGCACCTCAGGGGTGCAGGAGTCACCCCAGAGGTGCAGGAGGCACCCAGGGGTGCAGGAGCCACCTCGGGGGTGCAGGAGGCACTTCAGAGATGGAGGAGCCACCCAGGGGTGCAGGAGCCACCTCGGGGGTGCAGGAGGCACCCAGGGGTGCAGGAGCCACATCAGAGATGGAGGAGTCACCTCAGGGGTGCAGGAGCCACATCAGGGGTGCAGGAGCCATCTCGGGGGTGCAGGAGCCACCTCGGGGGTGCAGGAGGCACTTCAGAGATGGAGGAGCCACTCCAGAGGTGCAAGAGCCACCCAGGGGTGCAGGAGCCACCTCGGGGGTGCAGGAGCCACATCAGAGATGGAGAAGCCACCCCAGAGATGGAGGAGGTACCTTGGGGGTGCAGGAGCCACCCTGGGGACACAAGGTGCCACCCTGGGGACACAAGGTGCCACCGTGGGGACACAAGGTGCCACAGCTCCCTCCCGGTGCCCCAGCACACCCCCCCTGGCCGAGGATTCCCGGGAATTTCAGCCGTCCTGCTCCTCCAGAGCCGCTCTCCTCCTGGCGCGGCTGCGCAGGAGCCGGGAGGAGCCCTGGGCAGGAGAAGGGACACTCAGGACACCCCCTGAGGTGTCCCACGTCCCCACCGCGCGTCCCTCGCTGTCCCCTCACCTCCTTGGCCGGGGTCTTCCGCAGGGTTCTCAGGGCTGGGGGACAGGGGGACAGGGCTGGGGGACAGGGGGACACCCGTGGGTGCGACCACAGCTCCTCATCCTCATCCTCTGACCCGCTGGAATAGCTGCTGTAGCCTGGGGACAGAGGGGACAGAGGGGACAGAGGGGACAGCCCAGCTCGGGCACGGCCCTGCAGGGTGACAGGGGGACACAGTGCCACCCCGGCTGCTCACCCAGAGGGTGGCTCTGCTGCTCCTCCGGGCACGGCAGGTCCTGCTCGGGCAGGCAGCGCAGGTCCTGCAAGCTGAAACTGCGCAGCCGCCCGGCCAGCGCGCCCTGGCTCTGCAGGGGGACACAGATCAGACCCCAGCCAGGGGATGTCACCCTACAGGGGGGATGTCACCCCCGGGTACCTTGGTGGCCGCCTGGACGGCGGCGGTGGCCGCCAGGTTGAGGCCCCGCTTGCCCAGGCGCAGTGCGGCCTCGTAGCCCCGCTGGCGGGCACGCAGCAGGAGGGCATCGAGCTCCTGGGGACAGAGGGGAGCTGGTGGCACTGCGGGGTGGTGGCCCGGGGCATTGTCACCTCTGGGGCATGGCCATGTCACTGCCAGGGCACTGTCACCCTCCACAGTGCATCACCGTGTCCCAAGTGCCATGTCCCTGGGCACTGTCACCTCCCAGGGCACTGTCACCTCCCAGGGTATTGTCACCTCCCAGGCAATGCCATGTCCCTCAGCATTGTCACCCCCACGGGGCATTGTCACCTCCCAGGGCAATGCCAAGACCTGGGGCATTCCCTGAGCATTGTCACCCCCCAGAGCATCTCCATGTCCCTGAGCACTGTCACCTCCCGGGGTATCCCCATGTCCCGGGGTATTGTCACCCCCAGGGCACTGTCACCCCCACGTCCCAGAGCACTGTCACCCCCCAGGGCACTGTCACCCCACACCCCAGAGCACTGTCACCCCCAGGGCATTGTCACCCCACATCCCTGAGCATTGTCACCCCCAGGGCACTGTCACCCCACACCCCAGAGCACTGTCACCCCCAGGGCACTGTCACCCCACATCCCAGAGCTCTGTCACCCCCAGGGCACTGTCACCCCACATCCCTGAGCTCTGTCACCCCCAGGCCATTGTCACCCCCAGGGCACTGTCACCCCACATCCCAGAGCTCTGTCACCCCCAGGGCTCTGTCACCCCCAGGGCACTGTCACCCCCAGGCCATTGTCACCCCACATCCCAGAGCTCTGTCACCCCCAGGGCACTGTCACCCCACATCCCTGAGCTCTGTCACCCCACATCCCAGAGCTCTGTCACCCCCAGGGCATTGTCACCCCCAGGGCACTGTCACCCCCAGGGCATTGTCACCCCACATCCCTGAGCATTGTCACCCCCAGGGCACTGTCACCCCACATCCCTGAGCATTGTCACCCCCAGGGCATTGTCACCCCACATCCCAGAGCACTGTCACCCCCAGGGCACTGTCACCCCACATCCCAGAGCTCTGTCACCCCCAGGGCATTGTCACCCCCAGGGCACTGTCACCCCCAGGGCACTGTCACCCCACATCCCAGAGCTCTGTCACCCCCAGGGCACTGTCACCCCACATCCCAGAGCTCTGTCACCCCCAGGGCATTGTCACCCCACATCCCTGAGCTCTGTCACCCCCAGGGCATTGTCACCCCACATCCCAGAGCACTGTCACCTCCCAGGGCACTGTCACCCCACATCCCAGAGCATTGTCACCCCCAGGGCATTGTCACCCCCAGGGCATTGTCACCCCACATCCCAGAGCACTGTCACCCCCAGGGCACTGTCACCCCCAAGCCATTGTCACCCCACATCCCAGAGCTCTGTCACCCCCAGGGCACTGTCACCCCACATCCCAGAGCTCTGTCACCCCACATCCCAGGGCACTGTCACCCCACATCCCTGACCTTTGTCACCCCCCAGGGCATTGTCACCCCACATCCCTGAGCTCTGTCACCCCCCAGGGCACTGTCACCCCCACATCCCAGAGCACTGTCACCCCCAGGGCATTGTCACCCCACATCCATCAGCACTGTCACCCCACATCCCTGAGCACTGTCACCCCCAGGGCACTGTCACCCCCAGGGCATTGTCACCCCACATCCCAGAGCTCTGTCACCCCCAGGGCATTGTCACCCCACATCCCAGAGCACTGTCACCCCCAGGGCGCTGTCACCCCCAGGGCATTGTCACCCCCAGGGCGCTGTCACCCCATACCCCAGGCCATTGTCACCCCACATCCCAGAGCTCTGTCACCCCCAGGGCACTGTCACCCCCAGGGCACTGTCACCCCACATCCCAGAGCTCTGTCACCTCCCAGGGCACTGTCACCCCACATCCCTGAGCACTGTCACCCCCAGGGCACTGTCACCCCCAGGGCACTGTCACCCCACATCCCTGACCTTTGTCACCCCCAGGGCATTGTCACCCCCAGGGCATTGTCACCCCCAGGGCACTGTCACCCCACATCCCAGAGCTCTGTCACCCCCAGGGCACTGTCACCCCACATCCCAGAGCATTGTCACCCCCAGGGCATTGTCACCCCACATCCCTGAGCTCTGTCACCCCCAGGGCATTATCACCCCCAGGGCACTGTCACCCCCAGGGCACTGTCACCCCCAGGGCATTGTCACCCCACATCCCAGAGCTCTGTCACCCCCAGGGCATTGTCACCCCCCAGGCCATTGTCACCCCACATCCCAGAGCTCTGTCACACTGCGTGCCCAGGCCGGGCAGGGCCGGGCAGGGCCGGGCAGGGCCGGGCAGGGGGCACCCCCACGGCCCCGGGGATGTCCCCAATTGTCACCTTCTCCCTGCGGGCCAGCGCGGGGTGCACGAAGCGGCGGTAGAGCAGCCCGGCCCCCCGCGTGTACGGGGACAGCAGCCACAGGACAAACGCCATCTTCAGCTCGTAGTAAAAGGGCAGCCTGGGGGGGACAGGCGGGAAATGGGGGGCTCTAAAGGCACCCCCCGAGCCCCCCACGCATTTGGGGGGTGTGGGGATGGTTGGAGACCCCCCCAGGCTCACCAGGAGATGAGGAGGTCGGTGAAGGTCTCTGTGGCCATGAAGAGAGAGAAGACGATCCAGTACATCATCCACCGCACCTGGGGGCACCGGGAGAAAGGGGGCTGGGAAAGGGGTGACCCCAAAACAGGGGGGTGGGGATGGGAAAAGGGGGGGCTGAACCCCAAAAAGGGGAGTGGGGATGGGAAAAGGGGGCTGGGAATGGGAAAAGGGGGCTGGGGATGGGAAAAGGGGGCTGGGGATGGGAAAAGGGGGGTTGGACCCCAAAAAGGGGAGTGGGGACTGGGAAAAGGGGGCTGGGGATGGGAAAAAGGGGGTTGGACCCCAAAAAGGGGGTGGGAATGGGAAAAGGGGGCTGGGGATGGGAAAAGGGGGGTTGGACCCCAAAAACGGGGGTGGGAATGGGAAAAGGGGGCTGGGAATGGGAAAAGGGGGCTGGGGATGGGAAAAAGGGGGTTGGACCCCAAAAAGGGGGTGGGAATGGGAAAAGGGGGCTGGGGATGGGAAAAAGGGGGTTGGACTCCAAAAAGGGGGGTGGAGACTGGGAAAAGGGGGCTGGAGACTGGGAAAAGGGGGGCTGGACCCCAAAAAGGGGGATGGAGACTGGGAAAAGGGGGTGGGAATGGGAAAAGGGGGCTGGGGACTGGGAAAAGGGGGCTGAACCCCAAAAGGGGGGGCTGGGGAGTGGGAAAAGGGGGCTGAACCCCAAAAGAGAGGGTGGGGACTGGGAAAAGGGGGGTTGGACCCCAAAAAGGGGGCTGGAGACTGGGAAAAGGGGGGGCTGAACCTCAGAAAAGGGGGCTGAACCCCAAAAGGGGGGCTGAACCCCAGAAAGGGGGGCACTGGAGCCCGGGGGAAGGGGCAGAGGGGGCACGGGATGCCAGGACGGGACCCCCCAGCCCCCCACTCACGTATTCGCGGATGTTTTTCGTCTTGACGGCCTTGTAGGAGGCGTAGGCCGGGTAGAGCAGCCCGAAGAGCAGCCTGGAAGGTGGGGAGGGGGTCAGGCAGCACCGGCACCGGGAACCGGAGAGAGATCCGGGACACCGGGAACCAGCACAGAGCTCCGGGACACCGGGGACCGGCACAGCCCCTGCTCCGGGCTGGGAGCACCCCGGAAAACGGGGGGACATGGAGGAAATGGGGGGACTGGGAAAAATGGGGAGACACGTCAGAAAATGGGGACATGGAGGAATTGGGGGGACAGGGCAGAAAATGGGGGGACAGGGCAGAAAATGGGGACATGGAGAAAATGGGGACACGGAGAAAATTGGGGGGACAGGGCAGAAAATGGGGGGACACGGGGATAATGGGGAGACAGGGGATAATGGGGGGACAGGGCAGAAAATGGGGGGACAGGGCAGAAAATGGGGGGACAGGGCGGAAAATGGGGGGACCCGCAACCCCCCCGGATGGGGCAGGGCCTCCTCCAGGGGACCCCCACCCCTGGGTGATGCAGGGGACCCCCAAACTCCTGGGTGATGCAGGGGACCCCCCCCCCCACCCCTGGGTGATGCAGGGGACCCCCAAATCCTGGGTGATGCAGGGGACCCCCCCCCCCATCCCTGGGTGATGCAGGGGACCCCCAAACCCCTGGGTGATGCAGGGGACCCCCCCCGGGTGATGCAGGGAACCCCCAAACTCCTGGGTGATGCAGGGGACCCCCCCCCACCCCTGGGTGATGCAGGGGACCCCCCCACCCCTGGGTGATGCAGGGGACCCCCAAACTCCTGGGTGACGCAGGGGACCCCCACCCCTGGGTGATGCAGGGGACCCCCAGCCGTGCCCACCCCCCCAGCAGCAGCTCACGGACCCATTTTGGGGGGGCGCCACGTTTTGGGGAGGGGGTGTTGGTTACCCGCATACAGAAATTTGGGGTTCACCCCCCCAAACCCCCCATGAATGGAGCACGGGGGGGGTGCGGGGATTGGGGGGACCCCCCCCCCTTACACCGCACCCCACTCACTCAACGACCCGGCTGAGGATCCAGGACACCATGGTGCGGCCGGGGCGGTGCTGGGCCCCCCCGGAGCCCCCAAATCCCCCCAAATTCGCCCCAAATCCCCCCAAATTCCCCCCGAACCCCGAGGGAGCGAATCCCAAAAGTTGAAAGTTGCAGCAACGGCGCGGCGCATGCGCAGTGCGGGCCCCACCGGCCGCTCTTAAAAGGGCAATGCCTTAAAAGGGCAACGCAGCTTCTTAAAAGGGCAATGCCTTAAAAGGGCAACGCAGCTTCTTAAAAGGGCAATGCCTTAAAAGGGCAACAGGGCCTCTTAAAGTGGGACCCACGTGTGGAGAGTCGCAGCTTTATAAAATAAAATCAAATAAAATCAAATCTTTTTATAAATTCCCTAATTCTATGAAATATCAATATATTTATGTAATATATAAACATATAAATATATTAATATGTATTGATTAGGTATTATAGATTATATATTAATGTAGATATCGTCTATAATACATAATTATAGATGATATAATAATGCATATATCGCCTATAATACATAATTATAGGTGATCTATTAATGTATATGTCATCTATAATATATAATCAATATGTATGAATCTACTTGTATATTTATATATTATATAATAAAATTATTTTTTATATATTATATGGATATATTAATATATTTTACAAAAATTAAAATTAAATATATAATAAATTATATTACATATATAATAAAAATTTATTATATATTATATATTATATATAATATTGTATATTATATATTATGTATTATGTGTTATTATGCATCAAACACCACTACATTAATATACAATATATTTATATCGATGCTTCCAGCAGCGCTCCCTCTGCTCGTAAATCCTTTCCCTGCCGGGGAAACTGAGGCAGAAGCCGCCCACCGTGCCCTGAGGCTGCCTGTTACCTTCAGAAGATCTTTAATTAGTTTTGCTGTTAATTGGTGGCTTTTCACATGCATAATTATCCAGCTGGGAAAGGATTCCCTGGAAAACCAGTCCAGCAGGGACTGTGCTGCCTGGGGAAACAGCTCCCAGTGCCCCCAAAAATGTGGAATTCCCTCTCCCGGGGCCATGGAATGTTGGGTGGAGAGGAAACCGAGGTGGGAGAAGGTTTCTGCTGGGAAAAACCCCAAGTGCACCCAAAAATGTAGAATTCTCTCTCCCCAGGGTGGCAGAATGTTGGGTGGAGCAGGCACCAGGGTGGGACAAGGTTTCTGCTGGAAAAAACACCAAGATCAGGGCCAGGAGCACTCCAAAAATGTGGAATTCCCTCTCCTGGGGCAGCAGAATGTTGGGTGGAGCAGGCCCCGAGGTGGGAGAAGGTTTCTGCTGGAAAAAACCCCATGAGAACCCAAAAATGTGGAATTCCCTCTCCCCGGGGCCATGGAATGTTGGATGGAGAGGAAACCGAGGTTGGCTGAGGTTTCTGCTGGAAAAAACTCCAAGTTCAGGGCCAGGAGTACCCCAAAATAAAGAATTTCGTCTCCCTGGGGGAGTAGAATGTTGGGTGGAGCAGGCACCAAAGTGGGAGAAGGTTTCTGCTGGGAAAAACCCCATGAGAACCCAAAAATGAGGAATTCCCTCTCCCGGGGCCATGGAATGTTGGATGGAGAGGGCACCGAGGTTGGCTGAGGTTTCTGCTGGAAAAAACTCCAAGTTCAGGGCCAGGAACACCCAAAAATGTGGAATTCCCTCCCCTTGGGGCCATGGAATGTTGGATGGAGAAGGCAGCAAGGTGGGCTGAAAGTTTTCCTGGAAAAAAGCCCCACGTGCACCCAAAAATGTGGAATTCCCTCTCCCCAGGGTGGCAGAATGTTGGGTGGAGCAGGCACCAAAGTGGGAGAAGGTTTCTGCTGGGAAAAACCCCACGTGCACCCAAAAATGAGGAATTCCCTCTCCCGGGGCCATGGAATGACGGATGGAGAGGAAACCGAGGTTGGCTGAGATTTCTGCTGGAAAAAAACTCCAAGTGTATGGTCAGGAACACCCAAAAATGTGGAACTCCCTCCCCTTGGGGCCATGGAATGTTGGATGGAGAAGGCAGCAAGGTGGGCTGAAAGTTTTCCTGGAAAAAAGCCCCACGTGCACCCAAAAATGTGGAATTCCCTCTCCCCAGGGTGGCAGAATGTTGGGTGGAGCAGGCACCAAAATGGGGGAAGGTTTCTGCTGGGAAAAACCCTAAGTGCACCCAAAAATGAGGAATTCCCTCTCCCTGGGGCCATGGAATGTCGGGTGGAGAGGAAACCGAGGTTGGCTGAGATTTCTGCTGGAAAAAAACACCAAGTTCAGGGCCAGGAGCACCCAAAAATGTGGAATTCCCTCTCCTGGGGCAGCAGAATGTTGGGTGGAGCAGGCACCAAAATGGGGGAAGGTTTCTGCTGGGAAAAACCCTAAGTGCACCCAAAAATGAGGAATTCCCTCTCCCTGGGGCCATGGAATGTCGGGTGGAGAGGAAACCGAGGTTGGCTGAGATTTCTGCTGGAAAAAAACACCAAGTTCAGGGCCAGGAGCACCCAAAAATGTGGAATTCCCTCTCCTGGGGCAGCAGAATGTTGGGTGGAGCAGGCACCAAAATGGGGGAAGGTTTCTGCTGGGAAAAACCCTAAGTGCACCCAAAAATGAGGAATTCCCTCTCCCTGGGGCCATGGAATGTCGGGTGGAGAGGAAACCGAGGTTGGCTGAGATTTCTGCTGGAAAAAAACACCAAGTTCAGGGCCAGGAGCACCCAAAAATGTGGAATTCCCTCCCCTTGGGGCCATGGAATGTTGGATGGAGAAGGCAGCAAGGTGGGCTGAAAGTTTTCCTGGAATAAAACCCCACGTGCACCCAAAAATGAGGAATTCCCTCTCCCGGGGCCATGGAATGTCGGGTGGAGAGGGCACCGAGGTTGGCTGAGGTTTCTGCTGGAAAAAATCCCAAGATCAGGGCCAGGAGCACCCCAAAATAAAGAATTTCATGTCCCTGGGGGAGTAGAATGTTGGGTGGAGTGGGCACCAAGGTGGGACAAGGTTTCTGCTGGGAAAAACCCCAAGTGCACCCAAAAATGTGGAATTCTCTCTCCCCAGGGTGGCAGAATGTTGGGTGGAGTAGGCACCAGGGTGGGACAAGGTTTCTGCTGGAAAAAACACCAAGATCAGGGCCAGGAGCACTCCAAAAATGTGGAATTCCCTCTCCTGGGGCAGCAGAATGTTGGGTGGAGCAGACACCGAGGTGGGAGAAGGTTTCTGCTGGGAAAAACTCCATGAGAACCCAAAAATGAGGAATTCCCTCTCCTGGGGCCATGGAATGTCGGATGGAGACAAAACCGAGGTTGGCTGAGGTTTCTGCTGGAAAAAACCACCAAGTGTATGGTCAGGAGCACCCAAAAATGTGGAATTCCCTCCCCTTGGGGCCATGGAATGTTGGATGGAGAAGGCAGCAAGGTGGGCTGAAAGTTTTCCTGGAAAAAAGCCCCACGTGCACCCAAAAATGTGGAATTCCCTCTCCTGGGGCCATGGAATGTTGGGTGGAGAAGGCAGCAAGGTGGGCTGAAATTTTTCCTGGAAAAAAGCCCCACGTGCACCCAAAAATGAGGAATTCCCTCTCCCCGGGGCCATGGGATGTCGGGTGGAGAGGGCACCGAGGTGGGAGAAGGTTTCTGCTGGAAAAAAAACCCACGTGCACCCAAAAATGAGGAATTCCCTCTCCTGGGGCCATGGGATGCCAGGTGGAGAGGGCACCGAGGTTGGCTGAGGTTTCTGCTGGAAACAACCACCAAGTGTATGGTCAGGAGCACCCAAAATGTGGAATTCCCTCCCCCCAGAGCCACAGGATGTCGGGTGGAGCGGGTCCCCCGTGGCTGGAAGGACACACGGGCAGGGCTGGGGGTCACAGTGACTTTATTGGGGGGTTTGGTGGGCACGGACACGCCACTGGCACGCTGGGTCCTGCCCGGCCGCGGGCACGGGGAGCTGCTGGGCATGCACGGAGAGGGACGGGAGGGGCTGGCCTGGAGCATTCCGCTGTCCGCCACTGCATCCACCCCGGAGAATCCTGGAGCACCTCATCCTCATCCTCATCCTCATCCTCATCCTCATCCTCATCCTCATCCTCATCCTCATCCTCCCATCTGCATCCTTGGAGCATCCCATCATCATCATCACCATCCTCATCATCCCATCTGCATCCACCTCGGAGTATCCTGGAGCATCCTCAGTATCCTCAGCATTCCATCTGCATCCTTGGAGCATCCTGGAGCATCCCATCATCATCCTCATCCTCATCCTCATCATCCCATCTGCATCCTGGAGCATCCCATCCTCATCCTCATCCTCATCTTCCCATCTGCATCTGGAGCATCCTGGAGCATCCTCAGTATCCTCATCATCCCATCTGCATCCTTGGAGCATCCTGGAGCATCCCATCCTCATCCTCATCTTCATCTTCATCATCCCATCCTCATCCTCATCATCCCATCTGCATCCTTGGAGCATCCTGGAGCATCCCATCATCATCCTCATCCTCATCTTCATCATCCCATCCTCATCCTCATCATCCCATCTGCATCCTTGGAGCATCCCATCATCATCCTCATCCTCATCTTCATCATCCCATCTGCATCTGGAGCATCCCATCATCATCCTCATCCTCATCCTCATCATCCCATCTGCATCTGGAGCATCCTGGAGCATCCCATCCTCATCCTCATCCTCATCCTCATCCTCATCCTCATCCTCATCCTCATCCTCATCCTCATCCTCATCCTCATCCTCCCATCTGCATCCACCTCGGAGCACCCCATCCTCCCCGGGGCATCCCACCGCATCCACCTTGGCCATCCCATCCACTTTGGAGCATCCCAAAGTCCCTCATCCCAAAGTCCTGGGAACGCCCCCACCCCTCCCGCCACATCCCTGCCCGCTGTCCCCCCTCCATCTCCCAGCAGACAGAGACACCCCCAGACCTTCTCCACCCCCCCAGGGTGTCCCACAGGGAGAAACCGGGAGCGCCGTGGGGGAAACTGAGGCACCGTGGGGCTGGGTGAAGGTGAAGGGCTGGGACAGGCGGTGGGACAAGGGGTGGTGGGCACATGCATGTCCGGCGGCTCTCGGGGTGCCGGCTAGAGGCTGAGGTCCACCACCACGTGCCGGTACACCAGCGTGTTGGCCTTGAAGCTGGGCGCCAGCAGCAGCTGCACGTCGGCCGCCGGCACGGCCCGGAAGGCGCGCGGCGCCTGCACCGACAGCTCCTGGAACTTGGCGAACTTCTGCTTCTCCTCTTCCCACAGGTAGACGTGGGTGAAGGAGAAGTCGCTGCCCAGCGCCAGGTACCACCGCTGGC